CCCTCTTCCCTCGACCAAGCATGTAAACAAAGATGCTCGCAGTAAAGAGCTTCATCCAAAGACCCTCATCTGAAGAGCCTCATCGAAAGACTCCAAGCCAAAGACCCACAGTTATAGACCATCAGCCGAAGAACCTTATCCAAAAACCTTCATCCAAAGACCCTCATCCAAAAATCCTCAGCCAAACACCCTCAGCCGAAGACCAGCATCCAAAGACTCTCATCCAAAGACCCCCATCTAAAGTCCCTTAGCCGAAGACCGTCATCCAAAGACCCGAATCAACCGAAGACTCTCAGACATAGACCCTCAGCCGAAGACTCTCAGCCATAGACCCTCAGCCGAAGACTCTCAGCCATAGACCCTCAGCCAAAGACCTGCATCCAAAGACCCTCAGCCGAAGACTCTCAGCCGAAGACTCTCAGCCGAAGACTCTCAGCCAAAGACTCTCAGCCGAAGACCCTCTAGAAGCGGCAGTTCGCCGATGCCAAATTCATGTCAGAAATGTGATGACGCTCGAGAGCCTCTCACTCAATCGTGCGCTTATTAGCCTCCAGTAATGAGGCGTGTGTCAACTATGTCAACTGGGCTGTGTCAACTGGCGACGTGTGCTGTTTGAAATTTCCTGGAGGTTGTGTCCAGTTTTCCAAATTTCCAGTCAACTCACGGCTGTCAACTGGGGCTGTGTCAACTGGGGTTGTGTCAACTGGAGGCTATGTCAACCAGGGGCGTGTGTCAAATGGGCTGTGTTAACTGGGGATATGTCAACTGGCAACAACGTTCGCCTGACCCCATTTATTTATCTCCTTCCCTAAATCATCCAAACTCTCCTCATTCATCGCCACTCCCTCCATTCATCCCCACCATCAACTCATCCCCCTCCCCTCAATCATCTCGCACCAGAATCCCCAAACCCCAACCCTTAACTGTTCCTCCCATTCTGTTAATATTTGCATTCCCGATATTCCGCAAGCTATCAATTCACTTATTAACATTCCCCAGCATAGCCTCGTCTTCTCCCGTTTTCTACGCAGCCTAGCCAACTTATTCTAACTCCCCAATTCCCCCAGCCTCCTTCAGGCTCTGCCAGCCTCACCCAGCCTCGGCCAGCTTCGGCCATCCTTCTCCAGCCTCCCCCATCCTCCCCCAGCCTTTCTCAACCTCCCCCAGCCTTCCCCAGCTTCCTCTAGTCTCTCCCAGCCCCATCCAGCCTCCTTAGCCTCCCCCAGTCACCTCTAGCCTCCTCCAGCCCTTCCCACTCTACTCCAGCCTTCCCCAGCCTCCCCAACGCTCCCCCAACTTTTTCCAGAGTAAGGCTTCTGAGGCGCTGCTTCTTAACATGCAATTGAATAATGGCTAGATCCAGCTGCCACAGCTGCCACAACCGCCACTGTTGCAACTACTGCCGCAGCTGGTTCCACATGCCACAGCTACTACAGCTGCCTCAACTGCCACAGCGGAATGCTGCTTGCCATAGCTGCTGCCACAACCGAGGTAGCTGCCCAGATTTATACAACTTGCCGCTGTTGCTACAACTGAATCTAACTTGGTGCCGCTGCCACAGCTGCCATCGGAAGTACGCAGACCCCACCACCAACGCCTTGCCATCCAAATGTAAGAGTAATTCACCGCAAAGAGCAATTGCCACGGCCATACCACGGCCATACCACGGCCATACCACGGTTCTGGCAAATCTACTTCTTAACAACCCTAAAGTTTGTACGTCACCTCGAAGTTCCTAAGTAAAATTTTTAATTTGTGCGCTAAAATCTGATGGTGAAAAAACTTTAATATATATTTAATATATTTAAGTGACATTAAGATTTAGGATGTTTGTCAAGACTAATTGTTCTGCGGGATGTAACAATCCTGTTCTATTTTATAATATATTTTTTATTCAAATTTTTAATTTCTAGTGACTATTTCTCATATTGTTCTCCAGTATCTGTAGTGCCTGAGTAGACATGACTTAGCATACGGAGTTAATTACTCATTAATATGAATAAGAAAATGAATATTGCTTAGTAAAGTCCAATATATTTTCATGAATCTAATCCATCTTATGAAATTTTTTAACTGTAAACCGCAGCTTCGACGGGCAAGAGGAATAAGACCTAATAGATTGAAAGGAAAACAAAGAACGCAATTTTAATGCCGGAATTTTGTTGTTTTTGTTGGTTTCTCCGCAGTCAATTTGCCCGCAAACCTCATAACAAACTTGCTCTATTCCCCGTCCCTGGGGAGCTACACTTCCCTTCTTCGTCTCCCTCGTCCTGCCCCACCTCCCAACTTCCCCACTCCTCTTACACAAAAAGTTATATGCGCACATTGTCATTATATTACAGGCTTAATATACAATGGTATAATCATTATCATTATATCACAGGCTGAATATCAGCTCGCACTGATAGCAGAACTATTAATGATAATTGTACAGTACACAAATGTGCAGTACACACAGCACACTTCTCACTATTCATTCGACACTTACACTACTGCCACCTTAACCTGTCTCGTCATTTATACCATTCACCATCCTCCACACTTCAACCTATACTAGTTACCAACAACTTTATCATTCACCACTCACAGTCACTACCACCTATACCTACCATTCACCACTCACAGTCACCACCACCTATACCAGTCACCAGTCACAACCCCTACCTACCCCACTACCCCTATTCTCCCATCCCCCCTCCCCCATCACTAATTTCACGAAGACACATGATAAGAACTTAATTATCCAGGACTGGTCTCAGGTTACGGCGCAGCGACAACAAATGTCCGCCCCGGCAGCGTAAAGCGATTATTTCTTAAGTCGGTGTCTCGAGACGCCGACTTGCCTGCGCCAAATGTTGCCGACTTTTCGGCTACATTTTTGGAGGAAACAAACACACAAACTTTGCTCCGTGCTTGTTGGAGGAGGTTTGTGTGATTGCTGTGTGGATGCGAGCTGAATTTGTGAGCGTTTGTGTAATTGCTGTGTGGCAGTGAGCTAAATTTGTCAGCGTTTGTATAATTTCTGTGTGGGTTTGTGTGATTGCTGTGTTTATACGAGTGGAATTGATGTGCGCCCGTGTGATTGTGAATGCGTGTTTGTGTAACTGCTGTGTGGGAATTCAATTGTGAGCGTTTGTGCTGTATGGGTGACTGTTGGGTGAGTGGTGAAATGGTGCGCAAATGTAGAAAGCATTCGTAAGTTTTATAACTCCAAAGAGTTGAATCAGCAATAATTGCTATTTCAATTTTAACTGTTGTGTGAACATGAGCTTTATAAATGAACAATTGCAGGGAATTAATGATATAATAATAAAATAATTGACGATATAATAAGCAGGTATTGGTATGACTGCATAAATTGTTAATATTTCCATCCAACTTTTTTTGATTTTATATGCAAATCTCAAACTAAATTTTTTATTGTTATACAAATTGTGACGCTCACGATAAGCATTCGGGTCACGCAGTTGAATAATTTCAAATTTAGAGTGAAGTAAAATATAAGTAAACCACTCCACTACGTGTTTTTTCGCATATAGGAATGGTTCATAACTTTCATTTTTCCGAATTTAAATATTAAATTCTACAGGTTTTTGTTACTTCTAGAAATGTTAGCCTAGAGAAATTATATATTTTCCGTCGAATTAGATTCTCGCCTTGAAAATTTTTAATGGAAGATAATTTTTATATTAAATTTGATTCACTTATCGAACTTTTTTTCCCTGAAAAGCAATAAATTTGACTTGTCAATTAGATTCTCACATCGAAATTCTCCTTCAAAACCAATAATTTTTTTCCCCTGGACAGGCAGAGCGGAGAATTTGTTGCCGGACTCTGACATCCGCAGCGCAAAAACCGGAATAACTTCGGCTTCATTCGAGTCCGCCTCCAAAGTTAATAGGAACAATTATATTTCAGCCCAAGTTTCGACGGGTTCACAGTCAAGTCCTTCAAAAGAATTAACTCATCTCGCAATGTAATTACAAAAAGGCTCTACGTCCACTAACAAACTTCTACAATTTCTTTTAGTGAATTTTCCGAGTTTAGGCCGAATAAAAATGATAGTGGAAAAAGTTTGTCCGAATTATGACTCGCCAAAACTGCGGGGAAACGACGAGAAAAATTGGATGCTCTCGCTCTGCTATTTTTGAACTTTTTTATGCGTTTTTAGTTGATTTGCTGATCGTGTTTCAACATTAATTAATATTCTTCACTGCAAATTATTTTTGTGGAACTGTTGTAATCAATTCATAACAATTAATTAATAATATTCTTTACTAGAATAATTTAAACTCGCATATTTACTACCTTTGTCATCGCAAAATTTCTTCATAACATCTTAGCGCTGTTATTTATTATTAATTGTCATTATTAACATCGAAAAAAGTAACTATAAATATTGCATATTAATATAAAAATCAGAATTGAGGTTTACTAACACATTAGAATAAATAATTTAAAGTTATGATAACTGGCACATTAATATATATATAGCGAAAGTTATTCTTATTTCTCCTTAAATGCCGATTTGTCTCCATGAATTTTCTCATAAGGCTATCAGTTTATCATCATGAAATTACCTTATCCTCCAAAACTTCCGCTCCAAACATCTGCCGATTTCCATGAATTTTTCTTTTAAATACTCCATTTATCTACATGAAACACCTCTTTAAAACGTCACGTAACTATTATCTATTCATTTACTGTCAACTTATAATCGGCAGCAAGACGTAGCTTATTTTCATCACCGTACAGAAACCTCTAAAAATTTGAATTTTAAACCAACAAATTCACGCGAAATATGATATGAGTGGAACTGATATGCCACTTTGATGTGCGGCTAAACTGGGTCATAATGACCCACAAAAGAGCAAAAAAGTGAATTAATTAATTAATCGCATAGAGAATTTAATGAAAGCGAATCAATAATTAATTAAAAAGTGAATTACTTGAACTGAGTCTCAGTCATGACTCAGTTCCTCTGGGTGATGATGACTCACCTGCACCCGCGCCTCCGTCAGGCTGATCTTCATGGCAAGCTCCTCGCGGGTGAACACGTCGGGGTAGTGCGTCTGGGCGAACGCCTTCTCCAGCTCCTCCAGCTGCCAGGGTGGGTGAAATAATGGGTAAATAATGGGTGAAGTGATAGGTGAAGTGATGGGTGAAGTGATGGGTGAATTGATTGGTAATGAAATGGGTGAAGTGATGGGTGAAGTGATGGGTGAAGTGATGGGTGAAGTGATGGGTTAAGTGATGGGAAGTGATGGGTGAAGTGATGTGTGGAGTGATGGGTGAAGTTATGGGTGAAGTGATGTGTGAAGTGATGGGTGAAGTGATGTGTGAAGTGATGGGTGAAGTGAGGTGTGAAGTGGAGGGTGAAAGGATGGGTGAACAAAAAGTGAGATAATGGGTGCAATGTTGGGTAAAATAAAATAATCAACAAATTGCACGTAATTGAATGATTGCCGCAGACGTTGTTTTTTTCGTTCGAAGTAAATTTCAACAGCCTTAAGTCGTTCATTTTTTTGGTCTGTAATGTGCACCAGCTAGCTTCAAAATTATTAAGATTTGATTCTAGTAATTTTAATATGAAGGAGTATTCGATGAATTTCGGATTATTCAACCGCTTCTCAATCAAAACTTGCTATTTTGTCACGACTTTCTGTTTATTGTGCGGAAAATAGTTGTAATTGCGATGCCATTATTTAAAAATATTGAATTATGAGATATTTCTTGAATTTGGGCTCACTGAAGGATCAGTCGAGATGCTGCAATCGCATGAGGCAAAACGATGAGAAGTGATAAAATCCTGAAATCTGTTTTAATACGTGTACAGTTTTAAAAGCTAACTTAGCACAGATGTTCTTCTGTTTTTGTTTGACCTAACTCTACCTGTTATACACACCTGTTATATGTTCCATTTAACGCACCTGTTGTAAGGAGAACGTGGTTCTGTTGCGCCTCTGTTTCCTCCTGACGAAGGTGTCGTCGTGGAGCTCAGGATGGTAGCCGTAGCTTGAGTCTGATGAATAAAAATTAATTCATTGTGAAACTATGGATGAAATTTCTTTATGTTGAAGTACGTATTAAATTAATTGATGCTTTTAATGTAGCGAATTAATACAACCTCGATATTATGGTGCCATACGGTCGATTGCTAAAAAATTGTTACCGATCACGAAAACTGTTCCCGATTTCGAAAAATGTTACAGATTACGAAAGCTGTTACCAATCACTAGAACTAAAGTTTAACTTCTCCAATTCTTGTAAAAAATATGTTTTCACTCCTAGTGCTCCTAATTGCTTCGCTCTCAAAAAACACTTCGAATAAAAATTTATTTCGTTTTCAGTTGTTTAAAATTCACCCTTAAAAACAGCGAAATTTTTTCTTCTAATTTAAGAGTTGGCTTTTCTCGAACACCGGTCTAGTGCCTCCTGCCACATACTTAAGATTTGAGTGATTTCTACCGGAAACGAATTTTTCAAATAAATAAAATACTTATCTATTAAAAAGCTTATTGACTTTCGATTTATCCATGCAATCGGATATCGAGTACCGTAGTTTGAATAAAACATATCTATTTCTTCTTTGCTTTTTACAAATTTCTGACTTTCACATAATTTTTGTCCACTTAAAAACCACATCAAAAATATTCTTTTTTTCTGCAAATATTCCTGGTTCTCAATCACAGCTGTGATCACGTCACCTATTTTGAGAGTTCATTGCCTATTCCTCACAACACTCTCGGCCGTGAGGGCTACCCTCGGACGTCCCGTAGGGTCCAAACAAAGGGTCTTCTCCCCTCACTCTAGACCCTGCTTCTCGCACTCACATTTACTCGCACAATTGAACATGTAAACAGAATATACACACCACACATGGAGAAGCTGTGTGCTCATCTCCACTTGAATATCCCTCACTTCGATGTCCCTCACATGCACCCAGAAAAATTACTATGTCAGATTGTCCAGGCATTAACACACTTGCTGCACGTAGCGTTGATACGCACTTTTTTTGCTGAGCCGGACCGTGTCAAGATAACCCACACAAGGGCGAAAAGTTTATCGCAATTTGGACAGCATCCCACTAATTTATTTGAGTGTAAATATCCGTGGCAGCTCCCCTCAGCAATAAGGACGATTACCGTAGTCAATGCGTCGTCACCGGGCGACGTGACGTGGTTTACACCTTCTTATTGACACGTCAGCAGACACGTAAATGAAACAAACTGATGAACCTAATTGCTACTTGAATTGTTATGATAACTGAGGAAAGTAGTTAGTAAATTAGTTATTTACTAATTACTTTAAAATTAGTAAAGTAATTAGTAAATTGGCTAATCGCTTGGCGTAACTCAAGGTTTAAATGAGTCCAAGACAATGACCTAAAATCATGACGTAAGAGACACATGAATGAAATTATTAAGTGGAAAAATTATAAAAAAAAAATCGTTAAAAATAATTGAAAAGCTAATCAATTTTCTTTTATTCCTCACAAACTGTCAAGAAATCTGAATTAAAACGAGGGAAAGCTTTTCGGTTGTAGCGTTGTTAATCTAATTATTTCAACCACCAGTTAAAACGATTAAACAACATTATAAATTTAATGCAAAATAATAATTTTTAAAAACGTTGCAGAGGAATGTTTACAATGAAAAATCTAAAACATACATGAGAAAATATGAATAAACAATGAATTATTAGTTGTGGCAATATCCCGTGTTTGTTGTAATGGTTTCCTTATTACACAATGGTTTTGTGTAATTAATTCAATTATTTAAATTAATTAATTGAATTATTTAATTCACTGAAAAAGTTGTGTTACTTCATTATTTACAATGCTTACATACAGAATGGTTTTGTTGCATAATTTAAAATGGTTACACCGACAAATAATTAATGGTTGCACAGGTAAAGAATAGTTTTTCAAAATTAATTGTAATGATCGCTCGCATACAGAGTACTTTTATTCAATTATTTTAACACACATACAAAAATAATTTTGTTGCATTTTGCAATAGGCCCATCCATACAATATATATATATATATATATGTTTTTTTATTATATGTTATGTTCAAACTCATACAGAATGGTTCATGCCCTAACGTAATGGCTGACAGATTAAGGATTTAAAACATTACAGTTAAATTCCAGAGCAAGGCTGGAATGTTCAAAAGAAGGTTATTTATCCAGTGCAAGCCTTTGTTCAAATACCGCATTGTTTTATTCATATGGTAATCAATAATTAATTGTATCTTATTTTAATTTTGTAACTACAATTATTAAAAAAATTAGAGGGTTGGAGTGAAGGGATGTTTACTAAATATAATAAATAATTTTGGTTTGAGGGTTCATAATCTAAAATAATGTTGCATCTGAAGTATTTGTGATATGTACAGACTCAGTTATTGCTTCATCATTATTTATTTTTAACATTGATTCCTTATTAAACATTATTATTTTATCTTATTTCTCATTTTATAATATCTATTTTCTTCGTATCTTCTGTTCAATTTGTTCCTCTCTGATTGATGAGTTGGTGGATACGTAACAGGCGGTGAATACTCACATGGATGAGTTGGTGGATATGGGAAATCCAGAGGTGGAAGTCTGGGAGGAGTTGGAGGATGAAGGGATGGAGGGCAGTGGTAGCAGAACATGCTGGATCCTGCAACAGAGAGAAACGTTGACACGAACTTTAGTTAGGTACAAAAAGTTCTATGAGTTACATCAAAAATATGGCATCTAAATTGTGGCATCAAACACATGGTATCCAAAACGTGGCTTCCAAAACTTAACATCCAAAACGTAGCTTCCAAAACTTAACATCCAAAAAGTGGCTTGCAAAACTTAACATCCAAAACGTGGCTTCCAAAACTTAACATCCAAAACGTGGCTTCCAAAACTTAACATCCAAAACGTGGCTTCCAAAACTTAACATCCAAAACGTGGCTNCATATCGCAGCACAACTGCTTCACTTCAATGGGTGGGAGGCATATCGCAGCACAACTGCTTCACTTCAATGGGTGGGAGGCATATCGCAGCACAACTGCTTCACTTCAATGGGTGGGAGGCATATCGCAGCACAACTGCTTCACTTCAATGGGTGGGAGGCATATCGCGGCACAACTGCTTCACTTCAATTATGGTCGTCAGCCTCGAATACCGTCTGCCTAATTGATGAGTCCTCTTCACACCCCTCCCTTTCCCCTCACTCCTCTGACTCCCATCACTTTTCTCACCCCCTCACCCTCCCACCTCCCCTCACACTCCTAACTCCCCTCACTTCCTCACTCCCCTCACTTCCTCACTCCCCTCACTTCCTCACTCCTCTTCACACGCCCTCACTGCTCCCCTCTTCTAACAGCTTCATATCCCACACAGGGAATCTCTCTCTCCCTCTCTCCCTTCTTACCACACTCCCCCTCGACTGCTGCACTTCATTCCATGAGACTCCAATCTCCCCTATACCTCAACCCCTCAACTTCTCTCCCTAGCCTCCTCCACCCTCCCCTACCTTCCCCAACTCCCCAATCACCCCTTCACCCCCCTTTACCTCCGTCACCCCTTCACCCCCCTTCACCCCTTCTCTTATACACATCTAGATGTGTATAAGAGACAGTACCACGGTTCTGGCAAATCTACTTCTTAACAACCCTAAAGTTTGTACGTCACCTCGAAGTTCCTAAGTAAAATTTTTAATTTGTGCGCTAAAATCTGATGGTGAAAAAACTTTAATATATATTTAATATATTTAAGTGACATTAAGATTTAGGATGTTTGTCAAGACTAATTGTTCTGCGGGATGTAACAATCCTGTTCTATTTTATAATATATTTTTTATTCAAATTTTTAATTTCTAGTGACTATTTCTCATATTGTTCTCCAGTATCTGTAGTGCCTGAGTAGACATGACTTAGCATACGGAGTTAATTACTCATTAATATGAATAAGAAAATGAATATTGCTTAGTAAAGTCCAATATATTTTCATGAATCTAATCCATCTTATGAAATTTTTTAACTGTAAACCGCAGCTTCGACGGGCAAGAGGAATAAGACCTAATAGATTGAAAGGAAAACAAAGAACGCAATTTTAATGCCGGAATTTTGTTGTTTTTGTTGGTTTCTCCGCAGTCAATTTGCCCGCAAACCTCATAACAAACTTGCTCTATTCCCCGTCCCTGGGGAGCTACACTTCCCTTCTTCGTCTCCCTCGTCCTGCCCCACCTCCCAACTTCCCCACTCCTCTTACACAAAAAGTTATATGCGCACATTGTCATTATATTACAGGCTTAATATACAATGGTATAATCATTATCATTATATCACAGGCTGAATATCAGCTCGCACTGATAGCAGAACTNGCCATTATACGCCCCCTATTGGCCCCTCCTGCACATTCCATTAGTCATGACGCGGGGTGAGATAAGAATGATGTTCCCGCGCGTATATGTTGTATATGTTAACCTGAGAAAAGGGATTCAATGTAAAGGTAAAACACATCCTAACTTCAACTTATCTTTATATTTGGTGGTGCGTTAAAATAATTACAGATGTACTGGTACGTACTGGTACAAAGCGTGCTGCATTGCTATTGGGGTGTACTTATTAAAATGCCAAGCCCGTATATAGACTTAACTTACGCCAACTGATGGCTGTCTTGCTCAAGTGATGTTGTTGATACCGACTCATTGTCTAGCGCGTCTAGCGAATATTGTGTCTAAATTTCAGACACACTTTATAATAAATCCCATACATACTATAATCCTATATTCCATTCTATATTCCCAAAATATAACTAGAACAAGATGTCTGACAAATATGCAGGTTCCTCACCCCTAGCGTTCACCCGCGCACCACAACTAATCCATTAGTTACTCAGTCCTACAATTACCACTCATCCCTGCCACTCCTGTCACTCCTGCCACTCTCGATCCATTAGTTACATAGTCCTGCAGCATCCCTCACTTACCCTCGTATATTCCTAGCCTCTTGTTCCTGTTCGGCCAAACCTAAAAGATTTTTTGTTGTTTCTTTGCTCCCGCGAAATAAGGTTCGTATCGTCGCCACGCAAACGCAGCTGATTTATTTGTGACTCTGGCACGTGTGACTCTGGCACGAAAGTGACTCTGGCACGAGTGACTCTGGCACGAGTGACTCTGGCACGAGTGACTCTGGCACGAGTGAATCTGGCACAAGTGACTCTGGCACGAGTGACTCTGGCACGAGTGACTCTGGCACGAGTGACTCTGGCACAAGTGACTCTGGCACGAGTGACTCTGGCACAAGTGACTCAGCAACAAACATGACTCATGGACAAACTGCCACGCCACCAAGCGACTCTGCGGCCAGAGTCTGGACTCAGGCCGCCTTTGATCGGCTGCCTCTAATGACCAGATCAAACTACGCGCTTTGTGTCTTTTTTCCCTTGTTATTTTCCCTAGATTTTCCTGTTGTTGTTTTTTCTTGTTCTTTTTATGTGGGATTTTGTCGGCGGTGATTAACGAGAACGCGATTTTGGCGGGATTTGGAAAAATAAATTTGGACGAGGATCAAGAATATGTGGAATATAAAGAAATAAATACTATATAAAAATGACTAAACTTGAAAACTCAGGAAAAGAACATGAGTTACCCAGAAATTAACGTGAAATTTCCAAGAAAGAAACTTGAAATCTCAAAAAAATACAATTTCAGTAAAAAAATGTGAAACCTCATGCAATAAACATGGAATCTCAAGAAAAACACATAATTTCATTTTAAAAATTCATTAAAAAACGTGAAATCTCCAGTAAGAATACGAATTTCCCACTAATGGTACGCAAAAAATAAATTTGTCACATATGTAGAATTTGTCTTTGACAAATTTATCATTTGTCAAGAAATGACAAAAAGCGCATAGGGCGGTGAGAACTATTTGATTTAGACTGCGAGTTCTGGAACTTATCAATAAATTTACCCAAAATCCTAGAATCGTAATGATCATTCCAGAAATTCTATAACGACAGCTGATTAATTGATGATTTTCATAATCTAATGCATAGTTTATTTTCGTATGAAAATTAATGTATCATTTTTGTTATGCAATGCATTTTTGTACTGAGTATTTCCATGATAAATGCGTTATATATTCCGAGAAAGAGACTGATTAATAATTGAACTAAAATCAATGCAAACTATGTATGTCATCTTGCACCGCTATATAATATGTTCGCCTCATGCTATCAAGAATCTATAAATATTTTAGAGCTAAATAAAAACTGACAAATAACTATGTTATTTGTAGTGTTAATTTTTAAGAACATTTCTATTTCGTTCAAAATAACGAAGTTTTTATCAGTAAACTGATAAAAAAATAATTTATTTATCAGATATATCTCAGATTGTGGCTAATAATTGACTGTATTTTACTCATTACAGATCGAGAGTTTCAATCAATTTTGAATTATACAAAAGCGTTCATGGTTATCGTTAATTAAGTACAACTTTTTGAATAAAAAAAGAATGATAAAACTTCTCATTTTAATCCACAAATCATTATTATCCTAATCTTTTTCATTATACGACCAATCTTTCAAACCACGTAATTTATTCCATTAACCATTTTCGGTGCAAATACTCGAGAAGTTCATGAAATTGAGGAAAGCGAGTGTGTACTGCGCCACAATGAAGCATTCACTTATATTCCCCCCCTTAATGCGACATAATGAACGCTACCAAGACTCATGTTGACTTACCATTACCATTACAGCAATCCAAGGACGGGACAAAAGAACAAGCGGCCTCTTAAACATGTTAAATGTTGGCCCGACCCTCGAAAAGTCTACGGCAAACTTCTCACTCATTCGAGTATGGCAAAGAGATGGCATGATATACCATGCTGGCAGACTTAAGAAGATGGCATGAGATGGCATGGTGGCAGACTTGAGAAGATGGCATGAGATGCCATGATGGCAGACTTGAGAAGATGGCAATGGTGGCATACTTAAGAAGATGGCATGAGATGCCGTGGTGGCAGACTTGAGAAGATGGCATGAGATGCCATTCCTGACTCAAGGCATATTTGAGTGTGACAAGGAGATGGCATGAGATGCCATCCATGCCAAACTCCAAGCATTTTAGAATATGGCAATGAGATGCCATCGTTGCTACTTGCCCACAGATTTTGACTTTTGATAAACTTAATAATTTTTACAGTTAAATGACCGTTGGCACTCGTGGAAAGTTATACCCTCACATTTAGGGATGAATGTTATTTAATTGTAGTTCTATCTGAAAAGTATTGTACAAGTTACAAGAAAAATGATTAAATTGAAAATAAGGTTAGATATGACAGAACATAACCCCATTTGCTAAAAATCTTGTCAATAATAAAAATTTAAAATTTATGCTACTTAGCTCATTCAAATAGTATTTCTTATTGCTTATGCAAAAATTCAAGTTAGGCATTTATGCATTAAAACAAAATAATATCATTTATGAAATTTTTAGTAATAAACCCTAACAAAATTCAATGTATGCTTCAGCCTCCGCCCAAGAGTTATGTTCGCGTTAGAGTTATTCTGGGTCTGGTTGGCTACCTGATCGCAATCAGCGACTAGTCAGAACCTCCTGGCCGACTTTATAGTCTCCTGAGAGTAGGGCAAGAGTTGGCAGAATAAGGACCAGGCGCTTGTAGCTGTCTGATTCAGGGACCGGAATGTAGACCGAAAAGCGGACATAGGGACGCTGGTGGACTTTGCTCCCCGAGTCCTAGGCGTTCCTTAATCAAGAGCCGCCCTAGGCTCTAAATTTTGTTAGGGAAGCAATTAAATAAGATAATTAATATCATACTAATCCAAACTCATTCAAGAGTATAATAGAAAAAAAGATGATCTGAAGAAAAGGTATATGCCAGATCTAAATTTTATGCTGAAAATATGAAAAATATTTTTACTGAAACTATGAAAACTCTTCTATTATATTGTTTAGATGTTTGGAAAATATATACATGATTTTACTAGTCCTTTTATAATGAAATAAATTGTATTCACAATTTCAGACTATAACATTTCAGAGGGGTTTTCTATAACAAAACATATACAATTTATACAGTTACACCACCAAATTATGCCAGCGGTGTCACCGCAGTGTGACACCAATTTATGATGTCACAGTTAAGAAGATTATATTGATGCTGATTATAATCACATCTGCATATCAATTTACCATCGATTTGATAAATTATATATTACATATTTACTATGATGTATAACTGATAAATAACTGATATTGCATTCCGGATATTGATTGCAAAGTCCACATTGAGAAACTAATGAGTCAAATTGTCCAATTAGTGATAAACTTTCTACAAGTAGCACTGATACGACTTGTTGCAGGGACAAACCGGGTCGGGATGACCCACACAAGTGCAAGAAGTGCATCAATATTTGTACAAAGTGTCGCTCATTTTTTGACACACAAGTGCAAGATGTACATCAATATTTGCACAAAGTGTCACTTATTTTTTTGAGTGAGACTTGGTCTGAAATAAAAAGACCGGCGCCAAGACCCCACGCAAGACTCGTCGCCTCGTAAACTTGGTCTTTATTAGTATTTTATTTGAATGGAATTGGACAAATCCTATAAGGCGGAGAGGCCGGCGGCTAGCATCTGAATTTTGCGGATTTTAGGCCGGACGTCGGCGCGGATACAGCCGAGCAAGCGACCGTTTATCCGCCGGCTAGGACGGCTGCAGTCCAAAACACCCGCGACACTCAGGAAAATCTGTGGGTCGTATTGTTCTGGAATAGTGATATACTTTCTATATATATATACACAACAGTATATGTCTATATATATTGATATACTTTCTGCATGAAGCATTGATGAGCTTATTGGAGTTTCGTGGAGTTAGTGGCAAGTGGCTGGAGTTTGGTGGAGTTTGCTGTAACTTGTGTTTGTTTAACTTTAAAATATTTAGGTGGAGTTGCAGTGGTTGTGTGGGGTTGCAGTGGTTGTGTGGGGTTGCAGTGGTTGTGTGGGGTTGCAGTAGGGTTGTACTGCAAGTTATGTACAGGAAAGTAAGGGTAAAGTTTATGCTGTAGCAGCTAAAGTTGGCCAAAGTTTGAGAAGTTATGGAAAAATGAACATGTGGCAAACATTGAAGTTTGGGGAATAGGCTCCCATCCCCTCTTCCCCGCTCCCGAGGGAATGTGCTCCCAGTGTACAATGAGAAATATATATGAGTCACGTTGTCTAAATTGTGACACATTTTCAACTTCCACTGAACTAGGGGATAGTGGACCTATAGCAGTGATACGCAGCTTTTCCGGGCCAAAACTGGGTCAGGCTGAACCACCAACACGAGGACTAAATTAACAACTGCAGCAATATTCGGACAAAGTCTCGTTGATTTCAGTGAGTGTGTGTTGGAAGTGCATTATTGCAAGTATTAGCGACTAACACATCAAGCGGCGCTACGACTGATCGGTTTGGCTTGAGAATAAAATATATAGAAAATATAAAGTAAACATATAGAAAATATATAAAATGTTTGGAAAATATCTACAATACATAGAAAATATGTAAAATATATAGAAATCGGCCGATTTAGTGGTAGATTGAATTGCTGTGCGAAATTGGAGGGATAGGGAGGGAAAAGGCACTTTTTACAATCATGAAGCACCGTTTCCTAGAGTGGGTCAACCAGACCCATGCAAGTGTATTGGCCCGGCTAAGTGGCTCATCAGTGTTTCCGTCTGCCCTCTGCAATTGCGATGTGGGCGAGAAAGTGTGTCACTATTTAAATAACATCACCCACTCAGTTTTATGAGTGAGAAGTAAGCAAGATAATATGATGATATTGTGTGCTAATATCATGATGCATACACAGTAATCGAACTTGAAGCATATATAACATTTTCTTGTCCTAATTGAAGCTATATTAAAAATAAATTTGTATTAAAAAATAATAAATAAGAATTAGACGCAATGAGGCTAATTTTCTTTAGTTATGTGCATTTATTCAAAATATATATTCACGAGTGTTGGAATGATGAGTTACATTATATACTCCGCAGGTTAGAAGCTCATGAGTTATTTATTATGAAACTTATTCAACAAGAACGCAACATCCTGGAACAAGTTAAGACTACTATAAAATATTAATAAATATATATTAGGTAGCATATACTTATTAATAATAAATATAGTACAACATCAGACTTTCTCACCACCAAAAACTGCTACTATTTCAAGTTAATAAATAATTTTTAGACCATTAATTCATTAATAATTTTCAGACCACTAATTGAAATAGAATTTTTATTCCATTAATTCAATGTAAAATTTTACAATCAAGCCCATCTATGACCGCCGAAAATCGCTTCCCCGAGTATTACATTTTTATTCGAGATTTTCGGTTATCCAAAAATGACTGAAAATTTTCTAGCCGAAGACGTCGGAGCAAAGATTGGCTGTTAGCGGATATGATATTGCCGGTGATTGGTGGGATTGATGACAGGCCTCATCGCGATGGTGATTGAGGTCATGATTGGTGATTATTGGTGAGAAATTGCCGATTACCTGCTGAGAAATTGCGCCTCTGCAATCGCTGATTCCTGGATCGCTAAAGATCTGGCGCTGGGGCCGAGAGATCGAGCGGATCAATTGATTGACTTTGGCGGGAGAAGTTTAGCGAGGATTGCTGCAATCATGGCCGAGTTACGGCCGGTGGGAGGTAGATTATTGGCGGTGTCTTGAAGTTTAGTAAGGATTGTTGCAATCATGGCCGAGTTACGGCCGGCGGGCGGCCGATTATTGGCGGTGTCTTCGATAGAAGTTTAGCGAGGATTGTTGCAATCATGGCCGAGTTACGGGCGGCGGGAGGCAGATTATTGGCGGCGTCTTCGATAATCGAGACCAGGGTGCGATTATCGGAGGCACTAGAGATAATAAAAGACTTTCGGATGATTATAAGCGTGAAGGATTATTAGGGTCTTGTAGTGCTTTGCAAAGGGTTTGGGTGCTGTTAGTTTTAAATTATTTTAGGTTATTATTTAGCATGATACAGCATTGATTAATTTTATGATTAGTGGCCATTTACCCCTTTTCACCCAAATTTGACTTCTCATCGTTCATATCCACCAATCCATCCCAGCTTCACCCATTTTCTTCCCCCGCCCTCTCTTCCCCATATACTTCTCGCCTCACCCACCCCTTCTCCCCTCACCCACCCCTACTTCCCTCACCCACCACTCCCCTCACTCCTCTCACTCCCCTCACTCCCCACCCGCTCCCCGTTACCGCAAATATCCCAGCAATAGCAGCCCACTGCAACGATCTCAACGGCCCGTTATGCTTCGCAACAGTCCCTGTCTCGCCCGTTACAGACCCGCCCCCGCCCGTTAGGATTTAAAGTCCCTCGATAAGTACCTTTTGAGGACTCAGGACGGGGACGGCTGCTGGCGACGTCCCGTGGGACGTGTAATGTTACATTCCCGCGCTGCTCGCGCATCGATCGACGAGCGTCGCTAGCTGGGACGTCTGTTGCTGGGACGTCTGTTGCTGGGACGTCTGTTGCTGGGACGTCTGTTGCTGGGACGTCTGTTGCTGGGACGTCTGTTGCTGAGACGTCTGTTGCTGGGACGTCTGTTGCTGGGACGTCTGTTGCTGGGACGTCTGTTGCTGGGACGTCTGTTGCTGGGACGTCTGTTGCTGGGACGTCTGTTGCTGGGACGTCTGTTGCTGGGACGTCTGTTGCTGGGACGTCTGTTGCTGGGACGTCTGTTGCTGGGACGTCTGTTGCTGGGACGTCTGTTGCTGGGACGTCTGTTGCTGGGACGTCTGTTGCTGGGACGTCTGTTGCTGGGACGTCTGTTGCTGGGACGTCTGTTGCTGGGACGTCTGTTGCTGGGACGTCTGTTGCTGGGACGTCTGTTGCTGGGACGTCTGTTGCTGGGACGTCTGTTGCTGGGACGTCTGTTGCTGGGACGTCTGTTGCTGGGACGTCTGTTGCTGGGACGTCTGTTGCTGGGACGTCTGTTGCTGGGACGTCTGTTGCTGGGACGTCTGTTGCTGGGACGTCTGTTGCTGGGACGTCTGTTGCTGGGACGTCTGTTGCTGGGACGTCTGTTGCTGGGACGTCTGTTGCTGGGACGTCTGTTGCTGGGACGTCTGTTGCTGGGACGTCTGTTGCTGAGACGTCTGTTGCTGGGACGTCTGTTGCTGGGACGTCTGTTGCTGGGACGTCTGTGCTGGGACGTCTTGTCACTCTGACAGGATGTAGGAACGTCTCATCCAGCAGCACGTTCATCCTATAGGACGTATATATCAACTCTAACCCATTTCTGGATGTAACGATGGACGTACCATCCGGGTACAACAACGGGCCATACAAGCAAGACTATATCCTGCTATATAACACCATCATGACTGTAACCCACTATATAACATCACCTATACAATTACCACCTGCAAATTACACAACAAAAACTTGTCTTTTCCCAACACAGCAACCTGCACTAGGCAACGACAGCAACGGCAGCATTGTGGGCTTACATACGATAAACTAAATAATAATTGCCTTGAAACAATAGCCTAAATAATAATGCGATTAAATACAATACCGAAAATAATAATTCTTTGCAATACAATAACGTAAATAATGTTTCCGGCTAGATACAATAATATGGCATTTTCAAAACACCACAATAGCCTATATCCCCGCACCTATTAACCCATTTCCCCCACTTGTATCACCCCATTCCCCCGCACCTATTATCCCATTTCCCCACATCTATCACCCCATTCCCCCGCACCTATTAACCCATTTCCCCCACATCTATCACCCCATTCCCCCGCACCTATCAACCATTTCCCCCACATCTATCACCCCATTCCCCCGCACCTATTAACCATTTCCCCCACATCTATCACCCCATTCCCCCGCACCTATCAACCATTTCCCCCACATCTATCACCCCATTCCCCCGCACCTATTAACCCATTTCCCCCACATCTATCACCCATTCCCTTGCATCTATTACCCCATTTTTGCCGTTGCTCTTCACAAAACTCATTCAATATTCGCAGGCAATCAAGCGCCCGCCGTCGAGCCCTAACGTTTTAATTGTTAATCTGATACTTCAATATAAAGCCCTAATTCCCTAATTAATATCCTCATACTTTAATTATTTAATCAGAATTTTTGTTTCGGTAGCAGCGGCGAGTGATGCGTTCACGGAACGCGGGTTTGCAAACGCTTTACGTGAACGCGATTTTATTGCTTTGAAGTTGCTCAGGCTAATCTGATATACAATATACAGTAAATAATATACGTTTTAATATTCAATAATATACAAGCCTTGCGTCATCAATAATATTGAATTTATTGCAAAGCTATTGCGCATATACCTCTAAGTTTTGTAGGCATTTTCAACGGAACTATGAAAGATATTTATTCCTTATTGTTTCGACTCCAAAAAAATACGAGCCAATTTCGTGTTTTACAATTTAAAAATTGTGTTTTAGAATTACATGTTTTTGTTCCTGAAAAGTTGATACAATTAATTTCGCTAAATATTCATTGTAGTTGCGCGTTGCACTAGTGACGCAGAGCGGCACTAGCCGCTCAGTGACCAGTAAATTACCAATTAGTTCAGTCACTGGTAGTTTATGCACTGCTAATTAATATCAATTCTGCTGGCGAGATAATTACGGCAGCTAATGAGGCGAGTTAATATTAATGCATCTTATTAGTGCGTTAATTAGGAGCGATATGCTGAGCTGCCGCCGCTCTTCGGTACTGTTAATGTGTGGGGGGGACAGGGGGATAGGCTTAGGGGAATGAAGGGGGCTTGGGGAATGAAGGGGGGCTTATAGGGGAAGAAGAGGGGGTTTGCATGGGAGAAGAAGAGGATGCTTGGCGGATGAAGGGGGGCAATTGGGCATTTGGGGGATGAAAATGGGACTATAGGAGGGGGACTTAGTGAGCTGGAGAAAACGGGGGTTGGGAGGTCGAAAAGGGGAGAATCGAGGGTAATAAGGTGGGAGGGTATGAGAGTAGTGAGGGCCAGAGAGAGGGTCACGGTTAGCTACTGAATTGCTAACAACTTTTCACCCACAACCCGTTTCAAATTGCCACAAAATAATTTTTGAATATTTAAACGAGTTAACTGCCGTTCGCACTCAGATCAGATGCCATAAATATTCTACATGTAATAAATGTAATAGTATATTCTAAATTATATCAAAAGAAATTAAAGTGGCTATAGCTTTGAATTTCCTAAATAATCCTGGTATATAATTGTAATAGTACGGATAACTTAAAGCACATGTAGGAGAATGTTTTGAAAAAGACTTCAATTTATTGTATCCCTTCAATTTTGATCGATCTGGGAAATGCTGAATATGGATGTAGCAAATACCTATGTATATATTCACGGTGTGACGTTAATTCATGAATAATTTCCATTCCTAATTTGCATATATTTCTCTATCTACTTTTGCATCATTATTTTATCCAAATAATATAATAATAATAAAAATTGTTAATTACTAAGTTTGCACAAAAGAAATTGTAATTAGCAAGTCATAAATCTGTAAATTTTTCATCAAAATATCGAGAAAAAGGTTTTTTGATCCACATTCAAAACCTGAAAATATATAAAAAAAATTGTCCAAAATAATAAAATTGTAATAATAATTTCAACATTATAATTGGCAAATATATATATTAAATCTCTTTATATTTCAAGAGAAATTTATGGTTTTTACTTACCGAAATTCATTGCGAACTTCTGATGAAAACTTCTTAACTTCTTCTGTGAATTACTCTCGCAGTGACAAGCCTTTCTTCCTGGTGATGAACTTTCTTTCCTGGTGACAAACTTTCCTTTTTGCAGACAAACTTTCCTTTAAGGAGACGAACTTTCCCGCCTGCTGACAAACTTTCCCTCCTGGTGAAGAACTTTCCCTCCTGGTGACGAACTTTCTTTCCTGGTTGACGAACTTTCCTTTATAGAAACGAACTTTGCCGCCTGCTGACGAACTTTCCCTCTTGGTGACGAACTTTCTTTCCCGGTGGTGACGAACTTTCTATCTTGGTTCTGACGAACTTTCCTTCCTAGTGGCAAACTTTCCCTCCTGGTGACGAAATTCCTTCCCGGGGAGGAATAAAACAGTTTTATTCTTTTCAAGTTGATATCACAACTGTATTGTTTTTTCAGTTTAAAGCGTTCACTTTCTCTGCGCTAATATAAGGAACTAAACTTTCCTTCACTTTCACTCCCCGCAAGTCTACAGCGTTGAACATTAATTATAGGTAAAATACACACTTTGCTTCATTTTTCTTAATGGTATAAGTGCACAAACTTTTATCTCCTCACCAATTTTCACTTTCAGTCACTTCTCATCGCAATTTTTTGTGCCTTTAATTTTTTTAGTGAAACCAATCTGCGACGTTTATGAAATCTCCTCACAATGTTATTATACATCACAATTATCGGTCCCAGAAATGAACATTACAATTCTGTAATTAAAAATTCTGTTATAAAATTTTATGCAATTTCTTCAGCATTAACTTGCGTCAAATACTCAATGTTTTTCAAATAAATTAATTCGAAATATACGTTTCATTTACGGTATAAGTTTCAATTCATTGCGAAGTACAATTTATCTTAAGATGAACTGAACGAAACAAATTCAATCATGTTATGCCTTGATTTATTCATATTCATTTGCTAGCATGTCGGTTCTAAGGTGCTTAAAGTGAACAATATCAATGCGATCTGATAACTATAATTGGTAAAAATTATTATAGAATATCACCCATAAAACCTCAAAAGAGGTTCAATTATTAGCGTCGGCATTGATAAATGAATATAATATTGAGTCTGTTTTTTTTGTAATCTACGTGATTTTATTTCGGATATTTGGTTTGACGGCAGAATTGCTTTTTTCACCTGGTGTATAGATCAGATCGGCTATAATTAACGCCCGTACGTTTGGTTGTGGTTATTATTATTAATATTGATTATTATACTCTTATAATATTATTAAATATGTTATTAATGTGGTTGTTTGTATTCGTTGTGCTTACAGTGCAAGGAACTGTCACGATAATGAAAATAAATATTGCGTGAGATATCAACGCAATAAATGTTTAAATAATTAGGATATTACAAAATTTTAGCGATACAGAAAGAAAAAAATAAATCTGAACGCCATAAATGTGAAGCGCTAATATATGTATAATGAGACCAATGAAACTGGGATATCTCAAAAATTATTGGAATTTAACAAATAGAATTCGGATATTACCTAAGTAATATGAATATAAGTATTATATTTGGGATATCACTTAAATAATTAGGGTCATCAAAACAATTGTGATATTTCCAAAATGTTTGAGGTATTCCCGAAATAATTGGGATATTATCTCTAAAATTCAGATATTATCAGAATGGAAGAAGTAAGAAATGAGTAATTGGGAAATCAGCAAAAATTTAGGATATTACCAGAAAAATTGTGATATAAAAAACTATTCAGAATATCACCAAAATAATTGGGCTATGTCTTAAATATTTGCGATATCATTAGAATAACTAATTATCAAGATATTTTATATAATACCTAGAACCATGAAAATTTCCATAACAATTTTTTGTGCTTTTTATTATCATATTGAAGTGCAATCTGCTACTTTATTTTATTTATATGCAATTAATTCAACAGCATTAGGCGACAACGCGACGATTGCCAGTCAACGTTAGTTGGGTTCATCTCCTGGCCTCCTCTAAATTTCGTAGTTTGAAGATGTTTGATATAAACATGTTAGGACATGTTTAAATGTTTATGTGTTTTTGTGTTCATAAGTCTGTTTGTTTTTATTTTGGTTTGTCTGTTCGTATGTTTATGTGGCTGTGTTTTTTTATGTTTGTGTGCTATATGTTTGGCAATTTTAATCCTCGTAGGTTTTTATATATGAAGCCTAGTGCTGTAAATACGTGTTCAATAATTACATGCATAAATTACAGGTCCAGCAACATGTTTTTCCATAAATTCTGGCAATGAATAATAATTTGTTTTTAACTTGACGATATTATTCATCAGAATCATCATCAATGCTGCTTAATTATGTATATAATAACGAAAAAATCAGTAAATATGAATTCAGTTATTTTATTATAGTTACTCTCAGTCAGTTGCGCCAGTGAAGTTCTCAGTTGCCATAAAGTTCTAGGTGGCCATAAAGCTCTAGGTGGCCATAAAGTTCTAGATGGTCATAAAGTTCTAGGTGGTCACAAAGTTCTAGGTGGCCATAAAGTTCTATGTGGCCATAAAGTTCTAGGTGGCCATAAAGTTCTAGGTGGCCATAAAATTTTAGGTGGCCATAAAGTTCTAGGTGGTCACAAAGTTCAAGGTGGCTTTCAACTGGTACTTTTAAGGTGCGTGAGCTGCAACGCTTCCGTTAAAAAAAAAATTCAATCCAGCTTCCTTTCGTTTTAAACATCGAAGAGCTTTGACGAATGATTGAAAATTAGAAATGCTTGACAAGAATTTACTTGACTATAAAACTTTTACTAGAATGAAACTTTGGCGCTCTTTTGCCTTTGGATTAATTTAAATTGAAAACACTGTCATCAAACTTACGCTTGTACAAACTACTTACCTAACTGACCTTTAGCATAAAAACGATACAATTGATTAATTGATAGCTTTATACATGCAAGTAATTAAATTTTAAGCGTTATTCCATTTTTCATAGAATGGTGAAGGTATATACTTGCTTTTTTTCAATACAGGGTGATGACAACGCGCCATACAACATCTGGTCTAACTCCAACTCCAGCTCTCCAGCCGCGCTAACGTCGTGCATGACACTGCTGTTCATCGCAGCGTTTGCCCACCTTACGTTTAGCATTTTTTTAAGACTTGCATTTCTGTATATTGGTGTCCATAACGAATAGTTGTGTTCTCAATGAATACTTGTGTTCTTAATGAATAATTGTGTTTTTAATGAATAATTGTGTTTTTAATAAATTATTGTGTGCTTAATGAATAATTGTGTTTTTTAATGAATGATTGTGTGCTTAATGAATAGTTGTGTTCTTAATGAATAGCTATGTTCTTAATGAATAATTGTGTCCTTAATGAATAGTTATGTTCTTAAAGAATAATCGTGTCCTTAATTAATAGTTGTGTTCTTCATGAATAATTGTGTTCTTAGTGAATAGTTGTGTTCTTAATGTTTCACTCCTACTTACGTTAATTGTACGTTGTACAACGTTGTACCGTTGTGCGATACGTTTATCTTAACTTTTAAAGTTTATTTTTTAATGTTGTGACTTTCAGCGTTATCCAGCTCATTCATACATTTTTTATTCAAAATTTAATTCAGTTTCGTTTCCTTTCGTTACTCCGATTGTTTGTGTCCGTATCATAAGTACAGCTGTATACGGTGGCCCACATACGATAGCTTCAGAAAATTTCAAAACATGTTACTGGTTCAACATGTTGCAGTCACTGTGAACCTAAAGGGATGCCACTATGAACATGTTACGAGGTCACAGTGAACATATTTAGAATTCACCATGAACATGTCACTGAGTCACTATAAGCACGCCACGATGTCACCATGAACATGTCACGGAGTCACTATAAACACGCCACCATGTCACCATGAACATGTCACGAAGTCACTATAAGCACGCCACGATGTCACCATGAACATGTCACGGAGTCACTATAAACACGCCACCATGTCACCATGAACATGTCACGAAGTCACTATAAGCACGCCACCATGTCACCATGAACATGTCACGAAGCCACTATAAACACGCCACGAAGTCACCATGAACATGTCACGAAGCCACTATAAACACGCCACTATGTCACTATGAACATGTCACGAACTCACTATACAAACATGTTATCACTCCCCGAACATGTCCCCGACATGCCACACGTGTCCCTCGCGGTCACGACACGAAGATGTTATCTCGACCGTCGTCCCCGCAGCTCTGTCCTCCATTACGAGAATCAGACGGTCTAAACCCAATATGGTGCAGGTCTTATCTAATCATTAGCTTGCAGTCAGCGCCAAAACACAGACCTTCTCACCATCCTCGTCACTTTGCACGTCACTATATTCCGCGATATCACTATTCAAAATTTAAACTTAAGTCAGTAGTATAAGTCGTTTGAATAAAACGTGCCTACTTGACGAAGTTCAATGAGAATTGCATGTAATTATTGACGGGCAATTTGAGTTAAGAGTGTAATCTGGAATTAGATGAATGCTTAGGAAAGTAAGCAGCTTGCGCAAGACGGTGCCAAGTTACCCTCACTCTGCGCACGGTGCCTCCCCTCTTGACCTGCGGTAGGCTGGAAATGCGAGGGGCGGTGCCTCGCCATTGGCTGGCGAATGCCACCAAATTAGCCATCTGGCAGTTGATGGCACTGATGATTTCTAAATGCCAGATGCCGCCACACATCTCAGGCTCAATGAGAAGCCCTTGAGACGTGTAGAGCTTTATCGCGCCGACGATAATTCTTTGGCTGTCCAAGTCTTGTAGATCCCCCGCCCTAAACGCACTTAGCCGAGCATAAACAAGGACATAGAGATGCATAGACCACCGCCAACATTAGGGCCCGTACAGGATGTGTCTATGTTCATCATAAGCAAAGTTGAGACACAAACGAGCTACTGAGTCCCTGTCTCTCTCTCTCTCTCCTTGCCCTCACTCTCCCTCACTCCCTCGACGAGAGATATCTTGAATAGTTTGATCATTAGGACCAACACTTACTTCTCTAATGACACAGTCCATATCTTAGGCTCTATTACGAGCTTTACGACACTCCTTTGTATTGTACACATCGTGCTCTCTCCCTCCCTCGCTCTGCCTCCCTCACTCTCCACTCACTCTTCCCCTCTCTCACCACTATATTGAAACTTATGCAATAAAAACCCTCTAAATTCTCGGAAGCCAAGTGGCTCACGAAAAAGAATCTCAGAAAAGTCATCTGGAATCCGGCTTTTCAGGCCGGCACATTAAGTTGCTAACCCATTTCTGGTGTGTCGTACGTACGGCAGGGGAGTCGTGAATCCCAATGTATCTTACACATAGAAACTTTATCCCCGCCCCAGGCCACGCTCAGGCTTTAGATTTAGCTGAACAAAATACGACGCATTCCATTACATGCGTGGCTTTCATGAGCTGCTCTTCATAATCAAGCCCGGCCCTGAAACGTAACAAATGTAGCTCATCAATAAATTTTAACGGTCGTAAAATTTAGTCCATTTCTAAATGGGGTTTTTATCTGTTGGTAGACATACTCGAAGATTTACTTTACTGCATCTTATATCAAAAGTTCTTCCAAATTTATATCCGAATGTAGGTTTTTATTAATGCGGAGGTAACGTACGTATTGGTAAAATTGCTGAATCGAATAATATTTCCTTGCCATTCTACACGAAACGGAACCAGGTTCTTAATTTTATTTAAATGGAAAACTGTACTGATAATTTGTATCATGAATCTTACTCTCGAGTTTTAGGAGACTGTTTTTCATACATATTTATCTGTCTAAATATTATGGCATTTTTACCTATATCGCACTATTTAATACTTGCATGTATGACTGCATTATATTAAATGGTCAATCTACATCGTATTAAAATTTACACTTGAATAACTGTTTCATTGCCTTGTACACTTACATCGTATTATCTCACTCATGTATATATGACAGCAGACCAAGTTATATTATATTACATTAGTTTAACGCTATTAAAAATTTTTCGATGGAGTTCGAAATGCAATGCAATTCGAGCTTTTATTATTCAACAATCAACACGATTAATTTTTTTTTTTTTTTTTTTTTTTTTTTTTTTTTTTTTTTTTTTTNTGTATCACACATCATTGCAGTGCATCACTGCGGTGTATCACACATCATTGCAGTGCATCACTGCGGTGTATCACACATCATTGCAGTGCATCACTGCGGTGTATCACACATCATTGCAGTGCATCACTGCGGTGTATCACACATCATTGCAGTGCATCACTGCGGTGTATCACACATCATTGCAGTGCATCACTGCGATGTATCACTGAAACTGTCGTTCGATACTGGCTGCATTTCTCTTTTGATAAAGCTGGACAATTAGTTTCTTAATAACCGTATTATCCGTTTTATAAATAGTAATTCATTTCCTATAAGAGGCTGTATTATATATTGTATTTAAAGGGTCTTTTTAATTGTTTTCTGAAACCTGAATATGCGTTTAATGAAATATACATTATAAGTTCGAAAAAAACGAATTTAACATTCAATAAAGCCTGAATTATAGGTTTAAAAAATATGGCCCATACGCTTAATAACACCAGAATTTAACTTCAAATAAAACTTGAATTATACGTTTACTAAAGTTTAATAAAGTCTAAATATTACGTAAGTTTCACGAAAAATGAATCATAATTTCAACATGCGTCTGATAAAATCTGAATTAAACGCCTAATAATGGCGGCTGAATTAGCTGGATTATACACCTAACAATGTATGAATTACACCTGATAAAGCCTGAATTGTACGCCTAATAATGGCTGAATTATACGCCTAATGAAAACTGAATTATACGCTTAACAATGGCTGAATTATACGCCTAATGACGCCTGAATTATACGCCAGAAATAAGCTGAATTATACACGCCTGAAATAGTCTGAATTATACGCTTAGTTAATGAAGCCTGAATCAACAGCTCACCAGATGCAGCAGCGGTGATCGCTCTCCGACACGGCCGACCTCTGCAGTTATTCTCTGTTTTATTTTTTTGCACTTTTTTGTTATAATTGGTCTCTTAAAGACTGAATTTTTCGCCTTACTACTAATCAATGTGCTACAATGAGTTTTACTAATCAATGTGTTACATTTTTATTGTAAAGTATAATTTAATAAAATATGGTTGAGTAAATTTGAATTCTACCTCCAAATGCTTAGAAATAGAAAAAATTGAATCCCAAAACTTGGAGAAAAACGTTAATAAATTTTTGTTTGTTAAAAGATATTGTTAAAATAATTATATCATGTATTTTTATTGATTAATTTTTTTTAATGATTGATCATAATGATAATGGAATTTTATCGGAATTTCCTTCACATTTGCAGATGAACGAGTATGGGGAATACTGCTCATGTGCTTATACACACCCCAGTCTTACTTATATGTATCACACATTTAATGGCCGCTCCAAAAAGAACACTACTTTTGAATGCTGTTCCTACCAGAACACTCATGCGTTCCCTGAACCGCTGATTATACTGTTTATTGGAATAAACTATGTCAGTGTGATAGAGTTTATTGGAATAAACTGTATCACTGTTTATTGGAATAAACAACTATGCTCGAGAGCCATGAAAATGCTCCTTCGTTAATTGTACATCGTAAATACGTTCCGGCATTATTATGTAATTTAAAATGAATTACTTCCACTTCTTCTCATCAAATCGATACCGGTAGTGGAAAATCAACCCACTGTTCTTATATTAATCTTACAGCTTCCTTACAATGAATTTGAATGCCGCTTTATTTCTAATTCAACAACTTTGTTATCTTTTACATAAAAAAACTTGAAAGAAATATGTTTTAATACCTTCTAAAATATATACACGTGCTTTGTGTCATTATTAATAACAATATTTATAGAAAACACAATATCCTCCCGCTTTGCACCCCATCAAACCAACACAACGAACATCTCGCACAAATCGTAATGTTGGAACTCGGCACATTATTTCTCAATAAAACCACCCACCCTCCATAATAGCTCCTCCGCCCCCCCCCTCCAATCTTCCTCACCCCTTCCCCCACTCTTTCTTGTGGGGGAATGTCCGTTTTCACCTCTCTCCCCTCTGTTCCCCCTCTCCTTCCCACCCTTTGTGTTTGTTTTCGTCCTCCCTCTTCCCACTGTCTTCTCTACCCCAACTTCTCGTTCAGTGGAGGGAGGTGTCCGGTGCATTCCCCCTACTTCCCCTTGCCCCTTTCTCTTCCCCCGTGTCCCCTTTTCCTCCTACTCTTCGTTAGGAGTAAGGGTATTCATTTGAACCCCTACTTCCCCATTTCTCCCCCTCTACCCCCACTGCTCCTAAAAATGTTATAGGGTATTCATTTCTACCCTCACTCCACCATAGCCCCTCCTCTCCCCTCTTCCCACTCCCCATTGCAGAGGGGAGAGAGGGGGGTGTTAGATTTTTCCCCACTGCTCCTTCACTCCCCATAGAGTGGGGTAGAGAGGAACGAAGAGGTCCGTTCGGGTCATTAAGACAATCACTACAAACTCATAAAGTCACGCAGCAAATAATTTCTCTGGTCGCGCTCGATCCTTCACAAGTTGTATCGTAAACGAACGTCGCTTCCGGGCCATCGTCATCAGAAACTAACTTTTTCTCTGCTTAATGTCGCGCAAACTGCCAGGCGTCGCACTTTCTTAGGAAAAATTTCGTATTTTCTCTCCTTTGAATTATGGCAGAATTACGATAGAATAATAGTATTATTATTGTCATCATTGTTATTATAGTTAATATGAGATTATTAGTCAGGCTACGTTTGATCGCTGTACCGGCTGACTTATACCAGTTGGATAAAAGCTCTCAGTTGCCAGTTGTGCAAGATATTACTTATAACTGTTGTAATCGTGATTACTTGCTTAGAAGTCACTGCCCCATTTCAGTCACTGCCCGATTTTAGTACCTGTCCCATTTCAGTAACTATCCCATTTTAATAAGTATCCCATTTCAGTAACTGTCTCATTTCAGTAAGTGTCCCATTTCAGTTACTGTCCCATTTCAGTAAGTGTCCCATTTCAGTTACTGTCCCATTTCAGTAAGTGTCCCATTTCAGTAACAGTCTCATTTCAGTTACTGTCCCATTTCAGTAACTGCCCCATTTCAGTAACCGCCCCATTACAGTCGCTGCAGTCACTGCTCCATTACAGTCACTGCCCCATTACAGTCACTGCTCCATTACAGTCACAGCCCCATTACAGTCACAGCCCCACTATAGCCACTGCCAAATTGCAGTTACTTCCCCATTAAAATAATCGCCCCATCCCACGCTGCAGGCCCACCCTTCCCCTTCACACCTTCTCCAAACCGCCCCCCCCCCGACGCGCAGTTTTGCACACATCGTGCGCGCGAATGTCGCCGTAGCGGCGCGGCGCCTAAATCCAACATTAGGGACGTTCATCCGCGTAATGCGCGCCTCTGACGCGCCTCATAAACTCACGGCTTCGTTTGCGCGCCTTTTGAGGTGGTTTTTGAGGTGGTTTTTGAGGTGGTTTTTGAGGCCGTTCTGCGTTCACGCAAAGCCGCGCGTTAACGAAGAATTGGTCAACATCTTCTACTCGTAACATGCACTCAGGGAACCGAGTGTGTCACATTGTCCATGTATTGACCCACTTAATTTGTTCCTCGCAGCACGAGCAGACAGAGCACGTATCAATCATACGTCCTTTTGCTGGGTAAAGTTGGGTCGGATGACAAACATACGGGCAAAAAGTGCATAGATATATGGACAAACTCACTA